GATATCTGACAAAAAATTTTAACATCCAGCCGATTCTTCTTAGTGGAAGAAAACTGATTAATTCTTTCCTGAATTTGGCAATGAACCTAGGAACTTGAGGCTTGAATTTTCTACCGATGGAATGAATCCTCATGATTATCTAAGGTAAGAGGACTTACTATCTCTTGGCTTTTGATATATTGTTCAAGGTGGAGAAAATAAGTTTTTTGTAAGTGTTTACATGGGATCAAAGTATTATCAGGGTATTCTTCAAATATTAATAAGCTTGTATCGATGAAAGAGTTGAAATTGATAGGCTTAAAATCTCATGATTATCATGTCTTGATGCAATAATTATTATCAGTGGCCATTCAAGATATATTGAAAGAAGATTCGAGGCACATAATAACTAGACTTTGCCTTTTTTTTTTCAATGCAATATGCAATAAATTTATTGATCCCCTTAAATTAGACGAGTTGAAAAAAGAAGCTTGTATTATCTTGTGTCAACTTGAGCTGCACTTTCCTCCTTCATTTTTTTAACATTATGATACATTCATAGTTCACATACTAAGGGAGGTAAAAATATGTGGCTCTGTCTACTTACGATGGATGTACCTAGTTGAGAAATATATGAAAATATTGAAAGGGTATATGAATAATCCTTACCGCCCTGAACTAAGATCTCGGTACCTCCAACAATGAATATGTGAAGTCAAAAAAGATGTTTTCATGGCTCCATATGTGCCCTTGTAAGGATCAATTTACGATTGATAATTTTTTATTAAATGTGGATTTCTTCTAATAACTCGCCCTATTTTATAAGGACCATTAGTAGCTGATTGCTCTTTCATTGAAAAGTAACACAATCCTCTTCTTATGTTCCTTCCATTACAAATCAAATAAGGACATAAAAAAAACGATAGACTCATAAGTGTATTTATACAAAAACTATTAATTTTTATGAATATATTAGTTACAAATCTTGTGATGTTAATCATAGGGCAATGAAAACATATCTAACAATGATCCTGAAAAAGCACGCACATGAACTAAAGGATCATATGTGGATTAAGCTAAAGGTAAGTTAAACTAACACTTTATTAATTCATTCAATTATTAATATTTATTGCTAATTCCCAATTACTTATATAAATGTTTTTATATAAAGTTATAGACAACTGTAGAAGACTATTTGTGTGGCGCATATGTGATGAGACACATGCTCAACATTATCACATTAGGAATAACTGAATTTACAAATGAGGTAATTATATTTTTAAAAGCTAATTTTATTATTGTTTGAATTAGTTCGTTAATATTTTAATTGCAATTTTATACTTGAATTTAGATATTTGACATTGCGAATCTATTTTCTAAGGAAGGGGTTGACAACATCCTCACATGTTGGGCATAATATTTTGTGGATGGTATGTGATTGTGAGGTTTAGATAGTTTTTTAGAAAATTGCATAGGCCACTTGAGTTTTGTGTAATTTTTATAAAATTTTGTATTAAAATTTGGATTATTTATATGTACTAGAATTGTTTAGCTAATGATAAATTGTATAAAACATTTTCATTTGTAAGAATTGAGAAAATATGTAGAAATAAAATTAATTTTTTTTAAAAATCACTTTTAACAGTGGTTAATACAATAACTGCTGTTAAAAGTCCCACTTTTAACAGCAATTACACCTTTATTAAAAGTTTTTTTTAAAATAAAAAATAAAAAATCAACAAGTAACTTTTAACAATGGATATAAAATTATCGTTGAAAGTTTATTTTAAGCAACAATCACAAAATCGTTGTCAAAAAGTGTTTTTTATTGTTAAAAACCTATCTTTTAATAGTCTGAGTTTTTAGATGAAGCTGGATCTCAACATTTGTTAAGTAAGTGATCTAATTATTGATTGCTATTTTAATTTAATTTTTAACAAAGTTCTCAATAATAAATAAAATTAATTAGTTCATGGCAGCATTTTATTATGATACTTAGCTTTCCCATTGGAAACTTAGTTTCACTCTCGCCTGTACCGGGGGAGGCATTCTGATATATGGCCCTTGTTTATATTTATGGAGCTAGAGGACCATCAAGGCCACAGATGTGTGTGTGTGTGTGTGTTTTATTTGATGTTTTTATGGTGACAAATATATATGTTTTATTTGACGTTCTTTTGGCCACAAAATATTATGATTTATTATGATAATGGGATATTTCTCCGCAGGTAGTGTAGATTTGTCATTACCACTGCTCGTCTGCTACATGCAAAGAGTCGATTTTAGTACAATATTAATATAAATTTTAATAATGCCTTGCTAAAAATTCCTTCTATTCCAAATTTATTACGATTGTTTTTGGTTAAAAAAAGAAAGAAAAGAATTACGGTACTCCTATACTACTAGAATTTGACTGAACCACCCTTATTTAAATTCTCATGAGAGAGATATGAAAAGAGAAATAAGATCAATAAAAGAAAACGACGATAGGTGAATTAAATATAAGAGATATATAAATATTAAATGAGAGAATAATTATCAAAATAACAAAAAAATTTCAAAAAAAAATCATAATTTTGGATTAGAAGGAATATTTGATATCGTAGTGTAAGGTGTTGAGTCAGGAGCGCTGTTGTGGCATGTGGGGTCTATTGCCCAAGAAAAAATTAGTTACTACTTTTTAGCGGGTTTTTTTTTTTTTTTTTTTTTTAATGTGAGAAATGTGGCATTGCCGGATAGAGAGAATTCGAAAAATGAAACGTCATTTATGAGTTATCGCGGATAGTGCATGCCTTTTGTATGTAAAGTTCATATTAATTAACATTAGCAAATCAATAGTGCATGTGTTCAGTTTATTGATATTGATTGATTGATTAATATGTTTATATATTGACTAAATTATACATTACTCTTTTAAATCATATTCATATAATTTCCTTAACTTTTAAAAGTTTATAATGAATCCCTTTTAACTCTTACATTTATGCAATAATTTTATATGATTAATTTTATATATTAATTATTTATACATAACTTAAAATTTAAGAGATTATCCGTATATTAATTAAAGTTTGAAGAGTTTAAATGTATATAAAAATAAAATTTAAGGAGATATATAATTAATGACTATGAATTATTTGCATAAACATGAAAGTTTAAATAGGTTTATTATTAAATTTTAAAGGTTAATAGAGTTATTTATATGTGGTTTAAAATTTAGGGGAGTTGTGTGTAATTTAACCTTATATATTTCTTTGACATCAATGACAAAAAAGTCTAACAGAATCAACAATCACGCTTATGATAATTATAAATATAAATAATTAATTAAATTAAACATTTTCTATCTGTGTAATCAAAGCCTTCATTGGTAGGCCGCAGCCGGCAGACGCGCACTACGCTAAACGGCTAATAAGTCTCTTTCACTTTTTTGGACTCAATTTCCTTCAATACTTCAGTTTTTAAATTACTTTTTAGTCTTCATTTGTAATTCACAGTTAATTTTATGGTATCCTTGTTTTCAATCTGAATCTATCTATAATTCTATACATTCGACCATGCTTTATTAATAGAAGCTCAAGTAGCAGCATTATTATTGTATATTAGTTAAATCTTTATGCTGATAAAAAAGTAAAATAAATAATGAAGAATTGGTTTTGCTTGAACAGTTTATAATGTTTTCATTTAGAAATTCTCGTATGAGCATTAACAGCTTAATGGTAAATTGACATGCATACTATTGTTTTTGTGTTTTAATTTCGCGCAATCCATGTAATTGATATCGTCTAATAGGAAATAGAAAAAAGCTTGTTATTGTTTATTTTTATTTCTTGGATACCTAACAATATTAGGACCAAGCAATTTCAATATTTTTTGTTAGAAAATATGTATGGTCAGCGTAAGAAAACCTTAACCCTTTGGTAATACCATTATCAATAATGAAATAATAATATGCAAATTTGAATCAATAAGTTTTGCTTAATGAAGGGGTTGTTGGGGGGGGGGGGGGGCTTGTGTTTATCAAATTGATTCCATATTGTCAGAAAACTCAAGACAACTATTCCATTGTGGGGAAAAAAAACTAAAAAACCAATATTAGTATTTGTTTTATTTGACAAGAGAAAACAATTTACTCTGAATATATAAATCATCAATATAATACTCTCTTCATCTTAGATTATAAAACACTTTTGAACAAAATTTCACATATCAATAAGTCTCATTAAATACACTTAACAACTTTATCTTTTTAAAATAAAAATATAAATTTATAAAAATATCATTCATTTAATAACACTAAATCTACACTTAATTAGTACTCTTTCCATTCCAAATTATAAAATACTTTTTGAAAAGATCCAGCTTCTCAAAATATAAGACACTTTGGTAAAAATAAAATTTATTAATGATAGTTTTTTAATATTATCCTTTCCAATTTTTTTTCTTTTCAATATTTTTTCATCAATAAAGTATTAAATTGAGGATATTTTTAAAAATTTATATTTATTTTAAAAAAGTAAAGTTGCAAAATATATTTAATGAGCTCTATTGATATGTGAGATTTTATTTAAAAATATATTATAATTTGGGACAAAGGGAAATTAAATAAGGAGAAAAAGAAAAATATTAAAATTAACCTATTTAATAAAACTTTAATATTTTAAAGTATGTTATATTTTGAGATAATAATTTTTTTAAAAAAATGTGTTATAATTTAAAATGGAGGGAGTAACTTAAAATTGTCCACGGTCTGAATGAATTCTGGTGTAACATTTCAAGCAAGAATACAATGAATTGACTACATATTATAGTCTATTCAAAAGAAAAATTTCATATAGGGTCAAAACTCACAAGTAAAAACAAAAAATAGCTAGAACGCTTTCAAAAAATGAAACCTTTAGAATTTTTATGAGTATTTAAAGTACCCGAGTCAAATAGCATTGGCGGATTATTCGCATGTTAAATTCTTGACGTATTCCTTCTTCCTCTTGGTAATAGTAGGAAACAATCGTTCGAACGATACTAACCAGACAACGTGAAAGGACGAGGATCGTCGTTGCTATTCTAGGCTTGCGTCTCTCTGGGTTCTCTATTACCAAACGACTCCTAGTCGTTGCGTCTCTCTGATTTTTATTTTCTCTCTGCTTCTTCTGGAGCTCTGTACCCCAGAGGGTCGCCTTCGGTTGTTCAATTCCATTATTGTAATGACCCCAGAGAGTCTTAGAATCTTTATCTGATACACATTCATATTTTTGCCTGTAAAGAAGAAGAAAGGGACAGCTTTTATTACCTAACGTTCCGTTTTCTTCGCTTTTCCCCCTCTTGAGTTGGTGGGTTTGTGAGAGATTGAGAGGAATTGGTGGCTTTGGAGTTAAGAGTGTGAAGATGGGAAGGATTTCAAGGATTGCGAGTTTTGCAATTCCTTCTATGAAGGAGAAGCAACAGCCTGTCATTACGTGCACGACCTTCAACATTCTCGCTCCCATATACAAGCGCCTCGACCAAGAGGTTCTTCTTCTTCTTTGCCTGCATTGATGATTGATTTCCTCAAGTAGTTTATTTCAATCTTAACTTCTTATTCACTTTTTTCTTATTTGCAGGACGCGAGTTGTCGCGAAAGCGACTACAGACCGTTTTGGTTGGACAGGAATGACAGAATATTGGACTGGCTGTTGCAGGAGAGGTCTTCCATTATCTGTCTTCAGGTTTGAATGACTATGATCATTACAATCTCTTTCTCCTACACTTTCGTTTGTGCGCTTTTTTTCCCATTGGAATTGATAGGAGTGATCCACAATATTCCTAATGGAGCTAGTGGTTTGATGTTAATGTGTTTTTCTTATGAAATTTTTTGAGACGTTGTAAACAGTTTGATGGCAACATATATTTGAATTCGCGCAGGAATTTTGGGTTGGAAACCCAGAGCTTGTTAATTTGTACGAGAAGAGACTCGGTGATGCTGGTTATATTAATTTCAACCTTGGACGGACTAACAACCGTGGGGATGGTATGTATTTATTCCCTTAATTTGAAATTCTACCCCTTTAAATTCTCAGTTTTGTCAATATTTCAAACTAATAATCTAGGATAAACACCTCAACCACTATTTACCGAACTTAATTGGGTTCTGCATTTGATATTACCATTGCTTTTAAAACTTACGTCAAGATTTCATCTTTCCTTTTCCATCTGCTTTGGGATGGACATGATGTCACGAGCAAAGTTTGGAAACTGTAGATGAACGAAATAAACCTATTTAAATTTATTGAGATAAATTTTGTTCACCTTCTCTTGAAGGAATAAAAGACGGTCAAGAGCATGTTCTACTTTTGTCATGCTAGATGAAAATCTCTTAGATAGCTAAGTGAGAGTCATATGATATTCATAGTTATTTGCCACATGCGTGGCATTTTTTCTTCCCAAAATGTATGAACTTTTCTTAAATTATTAAAATTGCCTTATGGTGTTTCTGTTGGAGTCTGTAGGTCTTCTGATAGCGGTGCAAAAGGAACACTTTAAGATTCTCAATTACAAAGAATTGCACTTCAATGATTGTGGTGATCGTGTAGCTCAGGTGTTGCATGTTGAATTAGCTTCTCCATTATCACAATCTCGAAATAATGATACTGGGCAGGAAATGATCATTGTCAACACCCACTTGCTATTTCCTCATGACTCAAGTCTGTCCATAGTACGACTGCATCAGGTAATATGTCAGCATATTATGCTGACTTCGATGCAGGCATGGTAACTCTTTTGGACATATAATAATTCTCACTTTCTTTACAGGCCTACAAGATACTTCAATACGTAGACTCCTATCAGAAAGAGTATCAACTGAAGCCTCTTCCAATCATGCTATGCGGGTAAACTTAAATGGACTTCCTTATGAGAGACTCATTTGCCTTTCTTAACTTACTTCATCCTTTAACTTTTGAATCGTGTCAATGATTTTTTTTCTTTTTCTTTTTTTTGCAACATTTTATTTCTCAGTGACTGGAATGGTAGCAAACGTGGGCATGTTTACAGGTTCCTGAGGTCCCATGGGTTTGTATCATCATATGATATTGCTCATCAATACACAGATGCAGATGCACACAAGGTGATATATTCAACACTGTTCAGAGATTTTATATTTGTGCTGAACCATATTCTCATCACTTAATCCCTTTTTTGAACATTGTATGAATGCAGTGGGTTAGTCACCGAAATCACCGAGGAGATATTTGTGCTGTTGATTTTATATGGCTTCTAAATCCTGACAAATATCGGAAACTACTAAAAGCGACTTGGAGTGATGCTGTATTTGGCATGTTCAAGGTGATTGCAATATCTCTGGACTTGCCACATAGTCATCCAATTTGCTATTTTTGACCTTCCTGCAAACACCTTTAGCATCTACATATCCTTAGACCAAAGGTGTTTAAGCATATTTTAGATTGTTTTTCTTTTAGCATAGACTAGCACCATATTAGTTATGGATTTCATTTTCTGGTTGTGGAATAGAATTCTTCCACTGACAATGAATTTGTCCATTTCAGTATCTACTGCGGAGAGCTTCTCTGAATGAAAGTGATGCATTTGCCTTTCTAAAGGGTGATAACGAAGATTGTATTACCTTTGCTGGTTTCTACGATGCACTTGAACAGGTATAGTGAAAAGACCAGGACCCTAAATTTTCAGATAGTAAATCTGTGTTCGTCCTTGCTAGTATGACAAGACCTCATTTTGATTAAGGTTTTCTGCTACTTTTATGCAGCTTAATTTAATTGGTCCTCCGTGTGGACTTAGTGTTCAAGAGGCAAAGGACTTGTGGGTCCTAGTGGATGCGGATGGAAATGGCTTGCTGGATTTTAAAGAATTTCAGGTAAAGTAGCTGATAACAAAGTTTAGCTCTCTTTTTGACTCCTGTCTGTCTCTGCTATTTTGATGGCAAAATTAGTTTTTAGATTTGAGCAACCACGAGCAGAGAGCCCAAGGAATAAATGCGTTATAATCTCAATAAAAATAAAGTCATGCAACTATGGCAAATTGCACAAGGCATGTGAACAAATGGAATTAAGTTTAATCATGTTAGGTTAGGCTGCATGACCATGAAGAATGCGATCTGCATGGGCAGCTAATAAACGTCTCTCATCTAATGAAGTAAAACTATTCTGTATTGTCATAGTTATAGACTATATAACAGGCCAGAAATGCACGAACAGTTTAGATTTTCGTCTGAAACACTGTTGGCTAAATCATGTTCATAATTTGTGGGGTTGTAGCAGCAAATCTGGATTCCGTCATGTTTAGATCAGATAGATGAGATAAAGAGTGAGGAGCAAAATGATGAATCAAAGAGCAATCAGGAACAAGCCATTGGTTTCAGCATAAAGAATGCAACACTGTCCCCTCCTGAGGCAGAAAAAGGCATATGGCCTGAAGACTACTATCTATCTGATCATGCAAGACTCACAGTAGCGTTTTCGCCGATAAGACTGCCATGTTCCCGGATGATATATTGACAGAAATGCTTGGAGATGGGGGCACTCAATCCAGGGTTTAACACTTTTGTACATAATAGGACTCGAGATGTGAATGGATGGATGAAGAGGCAACTACACAAGACTCATGAGGAGGCTTCAAGCCAGAAACAGAACAGCACCAGTTAACAGAGTAATCAATTGGAAGTGATGTTATGTTACCAAGCAAACGTGGTTGGTTGGTGGCATTTGAAGTCATTTGATATGTTTTTCCATTCAACAGAGGAGAGGAGAATGATGTGTACAGTGTTGGTTTAGTTTGTAGGGATAAATTGTTTTGTAGCTTGGCCTCTAGTAATTTTTGACTTTAGACTCCGTAAAAATTTTCAAAGTGTACAAAGAAAGGATTAATTTAGTTTCTCTCTCTAACCAAAACAAAAAGAAAGCGCTGAACAGAGGCAATCAAATACTGTTACTAACGCAAAGCAGCCACTATAATAAAGCCCGAGCTTTGTGTCAATCCAATATTCCGTATAAAAGGTCGATTCCCTTGCAAAGCGCAGAAATTATTACTATTTTATTTTCTTTTTCCTTCAGAAAGTGCACGGATTTGGATAGGGAAAAATATATTTATTTTCTGAGCCCAAGTGAACAATTGATGACGCCCCTTGACGTGTTGCCACGTGGAGCTTAATACAAAAAGTTAGTCGCTTTTTTTGGCCTCGCAATCCTACTCCTCTGTGCTCATGTAATATTTTATCAAAAATATATTATGAAAAAACAAATTAAAAATAATTTATTTATTTTAAGACGAGCACAAATAAATAATTTTTCGAGCATCAAAATTCAATATTTAATAAAACCAAAAAGCACAATGTCAAATACATATAAGTAGTAAGTATCGATCCTAATAAAAAAGACCATAGTCGTTTAAGTATAAATTTTGAGTATGTTTGAATGTAAAAAAATGTTTTTAAGAAAGCTGCATCTAAATAATACTTAAATTTAATTCAATCACATAAGTATGTCAAAAAAATAACAAAATAAAAAGTATGTATGTGGGAAACCTTAAAGGCACAAAGGAAAGGGATAACGAAGAGCAGCGTAAAGTGGGAAGCATGATTGCATATACTTTAGTCCTTTTTTTTCTTTATTTCCTTTTCTCACTTCATCTTTCTCTTTTAGCCAACGGCAAGAAAGTTGATTATCAACCTTTAATTTTTTAATTTTGTTTTCCCCTCTACAATTCTTCCTTCGTCATTTCACATTCTGTAGTACGCATCCCACCAAAGGTTATTACAGTGAGAAACACGTCAAAGATTTTCGAGTGTGAGATAATACTAGGGTCAGCCAGTAACCAAGGACGATGGGGAAGGCCACATGTTATACACACACACACACACTCTTAGCTTCTTAGCTAAGACTAGAGAGTTTTATGAGCTATCTCACTCTCAATTTTATGTCCCGGTTTAGTTGTACCCCAAGGAGAAAAATTGATACACACGCGTTAATTTTTTTTCCTATGTTACCATGATATTATTGAAAATTACTTACGAGTGTACTCTGTCTGGGTAAATGCTTTTGAATTACTTCAAAAATCAATGCATTTGGTCACTCTTGAGACCTGCTAAACTCTTTCCAGTAATGGTATGGTATGAATATGAATGGGAAATGACAGGAAAATCTCTTAAAATGTATAAGTAACAGTGAGGTCCCATGAAATCTAATAATTCTTCTCAAATTTTTTGAAATTTTTTCGACATTAATATCTATTTGTCAAATGATTATAATGCTTTCAAGTGTTGTTATTTTAGTTTGAGTAATAATTTTTTTTCTTTTGTATATGATTATGATAATAAATGACAAATTTTGCACTACAAATTTTTTAATGACACTGAATTTTTAGTATTGTAAATAACAATGACTATTTTTATTTTTTTAGTTAATAACTATTTAAATTTAAGCAATAATTATTTTTCTTCTTTTAATCAAACTTTGTAAATTGGTTATCTTCTCTTTTATTTATAATAAAATCGTCAAGAATGTTAAAAATAGTAATAATATACGCCTAGGAGCTTGACTTCTTGAGGTATGCGCGAGTGCTTTGGACTTCCAATCATCCCACCCGTTGAGTTTCAAGCATTTAATGTGCCCATGACATGTTAATCAGACAAGTTGATTTATTTATTTATTTATTTTAATATTCTCTTCGATTTTACTTTGTAAGTAAGCTTTCAGTAATATTGACGGGGAGAATTTTATCAAATGTCTACCAAAGTGACTTATCACCATTATCAATATTGTCAATATCAATATCATCATCAATATTAATATATATATATATATATTATATATGTATGTATGTATAAATCAATTAAAGTCATTAGATTTATACATACATACATACATAAATTTTGTAGCTTCAATTTGATTGATAAAAAAAAAGAAATCAACTCTCATTAATTAATAAATTTTAAACTAATATTAATATAAAAATTTCTCTTAATTCATTAATGATATTTAATTTATTTTTTATTTTTCATATATTTTAGTCTACTTTTATAAGAGCATTTAATGAGAATTAATTTATTTTTTTATTTTTTACATATTTTAATTTACTTTTACGAGAACATTGACTCAAGAGTAGTTTCATTTTCAAAAAAAAAAAATTGACTCTCATTAGTTGATAGATTTTAAGTTAACATTAATATGAAAATTTCTGTTGATTCATTAATGAGATTTAATTTATTTTTAAATTTTTATTTATTTTTAATTTACTTTCATGGGAACATTGATTCCAAAACAATCCCATTTTTAAATTTTTCTAATCGTTAGCATTAACTCCATCCAAATATTCTTTTTCATTCATTATACTTTCTTATGCCTTTTCAATTTTCCTAATCAATAAGATTTAATTTATTTTTCTATTTTTTTATGTATTTTTAGTTTACTTTTATAGGAGCATTGATTCAAAAGAAATTTCTATTTTTAAATTTTCTTAATTGTTAACATTAACTCTGTCCAACTATCATTTTGTATTCACTGTACCTTTTCATGCTTTTTTAATGTTTCTAATTAATAAGATTTAATTTATTTTCTTATTTTTTATGTATTTTCTTGATTCATTATAATCAATATCAATTAACTCTTTTCAACTATCATCCATAAACATTATCTGTAAAAAAAAAAAGTTTAAGTTTGATTTACAACATTAATCTTTATCTCGTGATCTTGGCCCTTCAAACTATGAATGTTTCACCATACATTTTGTGCTGACAAGATAACACAATGACTATTTAAATACCTTGAACAAGCAAATCCTGAGTGGTAGAGGTATCTCTTTGGTAGCTTTTTGTCCTTAAGTACTCTAAAAAAAAGAATAGGAACTAGAAAATGCAAAAGAATATAATGCAATTTTTTTTTTAAAAAAAAGAGGAATCCCTTTGGATTCTTTGTTATATCCATATTTTTGAAAATATAGTTTATGTCATAATTCATATACTAGTGTTTAATTTTTTTATGCAATAAAAAATGAGAGGTTATTGGGAATTCTAAAGAAGTATTTTTTTTTTTTTTTGCCAATACTCTCTAAACACTCTAAGAATAAGTATTTTCTAAATAGATTTTTTACTATAGGCTCAAGAAATAAAATCAAGATGTGTACTAATAAAATATCAAAGAATGAAAATGATTGAATAGATAAAAAAATTTAACCACTTTAGATGTATCGATATTAATGATGTCGATGACATTTATTTCAAATTTATTAATTTTAACTTATACAATGCATGAAAAACTGCCTAGTTTATAAGAAAAAAACAAGTTCAAAAAATTTAAAATGTAACTACAAAATATTAAGGGCCTATTTGGGTACACTACATTTGATATTTAAAAGCACATTCTGACATCTAAAATGTTGAAAGCTTTTTAGATACTATATAGGTAGAAAAATATGATTTTTGAAAGTACTTTTTAAGATGGTTTGGACATGGATTAGGCAAAATAACTTGAAGAAGGATTTAAAAAGTAAAATATTATTTGATCACACTATCCATTTAATATATTATTTTTTTATTTAAAAATTATTGTTACTTTATTAACACTACAGTAATCATTTAAATAACAATCAATGTTTGTCCAGTTGGTCAAACTTTTTCTAATAAAAAATTATCATATATATTTTTTGAATTATGTTAATTTTCAGTATTAGTGTATGTTAAATTATTTATTATATAATTTTTTTACTATATCAAACTTTATATTTTATATTTTTATTATTTAAAATATAAAATTTTATGTTATTTAAAATTTTTATCACATTTTTAAAATATTTTAAATATGTTACATTTGTATAATAACAATTATAAATAATCATAAATTAATGTCCTATTTGATAATTGTATAATTGAACGTACATCTTATTATCATAATTCAAACAATTTTCAGTTTATGAAATTAATTTTTTTAAAAAATATATCTAAACATAAATTTTATTATAATAATTGACTGTTACTAAATTAATTTTTATCAAATAAATTTTTAATAAATTGACATTTGGTTATCGAAAAACTAAACACACACTAAATCTCAATTGAAATTAAATTGTAAAGCAAATTAACTGCATTATATGATTTTGAACAAATGGACTATTTGTTATCCTCCTTCCTACAGAAGAAACATCTCAATATGATAAAAACAGTAGTATTTCAGTATTTCATACCATCGATTCCACGCTACTATTATATGTCAATTTGACCTCATTTATATATAAAAAATTATATAGCTTTCTTTTGGGTAGCAATTATAATAGATACATATTCACCTAAACTATTATTTAATTGGACTATTTGTATAAAATTACAAAAAAAAAAATCATATAGCCACGATATAATTCAAAACACTTCGCATACCATGCTGGGAAAGGCTAGAAAGAATTGAACCGATAAAAAAGAAGAAGAAGAAGAAGAAGAAGAAGAAGAAGAAGAAGAAGAAGAAGAAAAGAAATGAAATGAGATTATAAAGTATGGCGGGCAGAATTTTAATTAGAGGAAAACAGAGCACGTGCTGTGGCCTAAAAAACAGAGAAGGTCCCTTTCGCTTTAATTTTTTTCAAGTCATGAAAAAGATCCAGCTTTTTTTTTTTTTTGAGTGAAAATGGATGCATATATATTACTCAAAGCGAAACAGTACCAGGAGAGCTTTAAAGCCAGGAAAAAGTCAAGACAAAAGCAATTAAAGAGGTAATCTTGGAGAATGTATTTAAAGTGTGATTAGTAACCGCTCGGATGTACGAGAGAATAGCATCCACAGTGAAAGATTCATCATTGAAGATTCTACAATTCCTAACTTGCCACAGCTTCCACCACAAAATGCTAATCCCAACCTTCCAGGAGGTATGGAGGCAAGTTTTTTTGAAGGCACTGTGTAATCTAAGAAATAATGTCACTCCTATAAAAATTAGTGTGCAAGTCAGCAGGCAGTACTTTCCTCCAAACATTA